TGGGACGGGGTGGAACAGGTCATTGGGGAGAAAAAGGGACATCTGTAATATTTTAAACAAAAGTAAAATTTAAAAATTAAAAAAAAAATTAAATGTAACATATCATGTATTTTAGCAACCCAAATTATTGATGAACACTGTGATTTGAGTGACAAGGAAACCCACATTGGATGTAGATTTTAGCAACATGGCAGATTGGAGGAAAGCTGTTGTACAAATTTACCTTTAATCATAAAATTCTGTATCATCGTGGTTGATGTCAAAAGAGAGAAGAAACATCTATTGTATTATTGTTATAGGTATTACTTTACATAAGAGTTGAATTTTACAAAGTAACATGTCTTGTCTCATTCTATTTTCAAGAAAAGATTTTAAAGCCTAAGTGTCCAGATTGTGTGAATAAGGAAACTGAATCTCCACCCGGTTAAGTGATTTTCCCAGTGTCTCTACAGATAATAAATGGCAGAGAGAGCACACAGACTAAACCCTTATAAGCCTTTTGCTTAGTCCCTCCACTGTGCCATGGCTGACAAATCAATAACAGTTGGGTGACCCTTCAAAGCGATCCTATCCGGCAAATGAGAAGCAAATGCTCACTGGCTTTTCTGGTGCTGTTTACTATGTACCTAGAACTAGAACCCAGCTGAAAAACTCACTGAGCAGAGCTGAATGGGTGTATAGAGAGGAAGAATGGGTCCTATTGTAATGCTTTTAATTTTGCTGTGGATCATAAAAAGGTTTAATTACCCTAATGATTGAAAAGTATCAGTCATTTTTAGTTTTGAAAGTGACCTGGAGGTTGGACAACTCTCACCCAGCCAGTGGACAAATTTCCATGGCAACCGATGATTAGGCAGCAATTGATTCCAGAGGCAGACAGTCTACAGAGCACTGATTTTCAGCTCTCACTGCACATTATAGAATCACTGGGGAGCATTTAAAATATACTGAAGCCTGGGGTCCACCCCTAGAGGTTCTGATTTTATCCGTTTGGAATATGGTCAAGGCATCAAGGATTTTTAGGTCATGCAAATGATTCCAGTGTGCCACTTGGTTGAGAACTGCGCTACAGGAGGTGACTTTTAGAGTTATGTATGGCTTATGCATTTTTGCACCGTAGGAGAACTTCAGCTAGTGCAGATCCCTGCTCTTTTTTTTTTCTTCTTTCCTTCCTTCTTCCCTCCCTTTTTTCCACAAATACTCACTGAGCACTCATTTAGGTACTTTGCTCCATGCTACCCCCTGAAGTCATCACTGGCCAGCATATTTCTTCAAAAATGCTTCACTGCTTAGCCCTAGCTGGTTTGGCTCAGTGGTTAGATCGTCAGTACATTGACCCAAGGGTTGCAGGTTCAATTCCTGGCCAAGGGCATGTACCTCAGTTGCAGGTTCAGTCCCTGGCCCTGGTTGGGCACATGCAGGAGGCAACCGACTGATGTGAAAGAGACACATGGAGTTTCTCTCTCACTCCTCTCCTCCCTCCCTTCTACTTTCTCTAAAAATCAATGAAAAAAACTTGGGTGAGGATTTAAAAAAAAAAAAAGTGCTTCAATGCTTAAAACTTCTCAGTAAATTCCTGGTGATCACATAGAAGATAAACATGGGGCTTCATACTATGGCCTACAAAGTTCTTGTAATCAGGCCCTTGTTCGCCTATCAATTTCATCTTTATTTGCACTCAAAGTGAGGTAGCAATCAGGACAGCACATGCATCATTTTGCCCAACATTTCACAGAACACTGGATTGGGTTTTGAAACTGGTCATGCTAAGAAAGAAGCCAATAATTAAAAATTCCTGGGATTGCCCTGAAACTCAGTCATTAGGAGCAAATAAGTAACAGTCATTAATCTTTCCTCTTGGCAGGGCTGTTTTTCTTGAGTGAGAAGATGATGGGAACACTTGATCTTTTCTTTCATTAAAAGGTAAGGGCAGTATTGCCAGCGACGGTCCTCCGGGATCTGAATTTTTGGTCATTTTTTTTCCTTTTAATTTCTCTTTGTGTTTTAGGAAATACTATAATAGGTTTCTCACAAAATATTGAAAACATTTCAGATTGTGTTGTGTTCTTACATTTTAAAAGAGAAAATGTTAAGAGAAGAAAATGAAATCTTTCTTTGGACAACGGCACTGGTTACTGAAAATTGTGCTCTGTGAGCTAAATGTTGTCCAGGCTCAGGGAGAAGCGTCCATGTGTAAGTTGGTGGGTACAGGCTAAAGGACACCAGTCTGCATCCTGAGGGATTTAGCAATTTGTGTTTGGTCTGGACAGGCTTTGACATCTGATCTGAGGTGTAGTACTTTAAAAAATAATAGTAACATTGCTCTAAGTGGCAGCATTAGATCTTTGCTGTTCCTTTGAGTTTGAAGTTGACAATGGGAGACACAGGCCAACCCTAAATGAAGGACTCATCCTACAGGAAGGGATTAGAGCAAAAGCAGGAGATCAAGAAAAAAGCCCCCCTATATGTATGGTATGAATAACAAGGCAGGAACCGGAAGAATGGTTAGAAGAAGGGTTCCCTGAACACTCCAGATTTCCCCATAAATCATAGGACATTGAACTAATTCTAAATTGTGTTTTCTAAAGCTATCAGCAGACTCCACTGTGTGNTGGGAAGCCTAAAGCTATCAGCAGACTCCACTGTGTGATTTGTAGTGTTGGGCGAGTTTCTTTTCCTTGTGTGCTGATGATCTCTTATGTAGAACTGGGTAGATGCTATAATCACCTTCTTCACAGACCTGGGTTTTGGGAAAATGAGACCAGGTATTGTCATTGCTCCTCTCAGTGATCAGTGTGACCATACTAAAGATGGAAAAAATTGCCTCCATTGGGTGATGTGCATTTGAATTCTAAAATATTGCTTGGAAATAATACTACTGTATGACATAGAGTATAGAGAAATATTGAACCATATAAATTGATCATGCGTAATACAGGTTTTCTTTTCATACATATTTTTTCTGAAATGCTGAACCCAGCATCAGTCCTTGGTGATAGTGGTACAATTTTATGATTCTGTGTTCTAAGTGTTGCTTCTTATTCTGGCTGTATGAGTGTCCAGCTTGGGCCTTACCTTTGGTTTTCCTTAGATAAGTTTTGGATCTCTTTACTCTCATCAACAACTTCTATCCAGAAGAAGAAAAAAAAATGTAGTCAAGTGAGACTAGATCTGTCACAAATAAACTACTGGTATATGGCATATGAAACTAATAGCCCAAGAGTGTTCAGAAGTAATTGTGATAACTGACTACATGGCCAACCTGAACAAATGTACAATCGTCCTATTTGCCTCTGTGTGCTCTGACCCTTAAAAATAGATATCATAGGTATTTCCAAACCACCCTTGCAGGTGAAGAGTATGCTCCTAAAATTACCTTGGGTTGTATTGCTTCTAGAGAGATAGGAAAGCCTGTAGGTGTCTGGGTGATCTATTGGGATGGAGCTGGGTGGGCAGATTCTTGCATCTTGAGAGGTAGTGGTGAAATGAGAAACAAAATATGGGCACATTGCAGAGTGAGTATAATATACAAGTTTTGAGGTTAAGGATGGGAGAAAGTTAGGTTTCCTAGGATGGGCATGGAAGAACCTCCGGGTGATTATGAGTAGTTAGAAACCAAAGTAGTATTATGAACCATTGCATTGATTTGTTTTATGACACAATTTGAAGCATATTTTTAAAACATTAAAGGTGGGCATAAAATTCTTTAGGTTCATAAAGAAGGAGCCTTAGATGAAAAACACTGCAACCCTCTATACTAAGCTTTAGGCATGAGGCCAAGGGGATGGGCAAGGAAACCAAGCTCAGAGATGGCACCCATGGCTCTCATATGTCAGTGGGTATCAGAATCACATGGAGGGATTGATATAGCACAAGGATGATTCTCCACTCCCAAAAGTTATAACTGAGTATGTCTTGGTCTTCGGTGAGACCTGATGATTCGCATTTTTGACAGGCCCCCTCAGGCAATACAGATGCTGGAACCCTGATCTAGGATACAGGTTTCTAATACTTTCTTCTGACCTCTTTCTATCCCAAAGGGGTAGATATAGGGCAGGTTAAGAAACCTTTCTGCTCATCATTTTAATGAAGTAAATTCCCAGCAGACTCATAACTCTAGTTTTTCACTTACATACAAACATGTATTTGGGGATTTTCTAGCTAAAACCCCAAAATATTCTAGGTATGACAACTTAGGCTTGTAGAGATAAAGTGAAACATCCAAGTTCACAGTAATTGGCAGAGGCAGGATTTAAATCCACATCTCTTGACACCAGATCTAGGGGAGTTTTTAAAACACTACTTATGAGTAGTGGGAGTTCTGGGCTTAGTGAAGCCTTAGAACCAAGATTAAAATGAAAATAGAAATTTACACTGAAGCTCCATTCTAGCATAAACAGCAGGGAGTGAAATTAAGTTAGGGAAAGCGCATGGCCCTTACTGCCAGAGAAAACATTGACAAATATGTTTCGGAGGCGCTCATAGCCTGGACAGATGCATCTCTTCTTCTTGCCTTTATTTCACCTGGGCCATCTGGCTGCATCCTGCTTTTCCAAGGACCTCTGGGTACTTTGATTTGCTTTTTTTCCTTATAAAATAAATGAATAAATAACTCATAAAAGCAGATTTCACTGATGAGGAAAGATACATTTGCAAAAGCATCAAAATCACTCAAGTTCAAGTTTCCGTTAATGGAGCCATCAGGCTATTTGTGACCCATCCAAAACATTAACTTTTGATATGTCCAGCTGCTAAAATAAGCAAATGCCAGAAACCAAGAGAAATAAGTACAAGCAAGTACCTGTCTTGCTGGATCTCCTTAAACTTCGCCTTGGTTCATGATTCCCCAAAGACTCTTGCATTCTTCAGGTAATTATTATTTTTAATTAAGATATTTTTCCCAAGATAATTTAATCCTAAGGGGAATTCTGGTGACAGCTCTTATAATAATAACATTCATTTTGCCTCTGCCACCTGTACTTGGAAGAGTGGTGAGGTGTAGTAAAAGCAACCTTAGGACCCTAGATGATAATATTTTGTAGGACTATGACCTGAACACTTTGGTGTTGAGCTGAGGTCTTTTGCTAACTGGTTTCTGCTAATATATCTTTCCTTGGATCCTCAGTATCTTCAGCTTTAAGTTACAATAATCACATTGACCCTGATCAGGGGTGAAATGAAACATTTTCACCCATATAAAATGATTTTGTAAATAGTATAGGCTATAAAAATGGAAGACATTATTATTAGTTCTCAATAATGAATGAATAAAACACTTTTCCTCTCATTCACTCTTCCCTGCCTCCCATCTGGACAACTTTGGGTTACTGTCCTCTCTTTCAAAGGAATCAGAAATGCATTCTGGTGTCTTGCCCAGGAGCAGTTAACATTTCTCAAGGCAGGGAGCTGCTTAACATACTTGAATGAGCGTCAGCATGGAGTGAGCACTGACCTCACACAGAGGTCCTGCCAGAGGCAGATGACAAATCTTACTCTGCAGAATTTTCATGGAGAAAACATTAAGTATTTTCTGCTGACTGAATTGAAAGAAAATGTGGGGGATTTTAGAAACTCTATACATAAGAGTATTGACTTGGTGCTGCATTAATTTAACAGGCCATAAGTTATCAAGGCAAGTGTAAACCTAGCCAATAAGTCAGCTTCTCTATTAGTGTCATGCAACCCACCAGGGAGACGGGGAGAAGCTTCATGTTCATTATTGATCTGAGTTATTGCACAGCCCTGAAAATCACATATTGTTATTTTTTACAATGCAAACACTAGATTTGGGTAAGATTAAATAGCCTGCCGACATTGACAGGCAGTGAATAGCAAAGCCAGGCTTTGCCTATATCTTTGGGGCTATACCTGGCAGAAAGGTTTTTCAGTAGGATAGTTCTGAGTGCATACTGTGGGAACAAATTGTGTGGGCTTCGGTCCCTGCTTTTCAATTTAAAAGCAGTGTGCTTGGGTGTGTTATTTGATTTATCTGTGCCTCAGTTTTCTTTGTTGTAGAAAGAAATGAAATATTTCATAGGATAATGGAAAGACTAAATGAGTTGAAACTGCAAATGCCCTGTACACAAAAAAAAAACCCAATTCCAATTAGCTATTATTTAGCACAGGGATGGGGAACCTTTCTTTTTGCCAAGGGCCATTTGGATATTTATAATATCATTCATGGGCCACACAAAATTATCAACTTAAAAATTAGCCTGCTAGATTTGGTCAAACATTTCATTAATTCACTCCTAATGTGATGGCTAGAACTGCTTCTCTTTGGTGAGGCCTGGGCAGGGCCAGATCAAATGATTTTGTGGGCTTTATACAGCCCTTGGGCCATATGTTCCCACCCCTGATTTAGCATATATAGTAGAGTTGTCCTCTAAATCTGAGTCCCTCTGAAGTTAGCCATTTATTCCAGAAAGCTTTAGAGAGCATCTTCTGTTTGCCAGGTGCTGTGGCAGGAGCTAGAGCTCCTCCTTCTTGGATGGCGATATGACAATGACTAGGCGATGTGATTTCACCTTCTGTTTGTTCATCACTAGAGTTTCTGTGAGAGGTCAGTTTCTATTGCCATAAGTTCAATTCTCCAGCAGAGGCATGATCATGGAGCAGTGAGGAAAGGAGGAAGAGACTGAATAAACTTGGAGGGAACCTGGTGCATACCCACAAAATTGATACCTTTTAAGGAGCTTCACATATTCGTTCATTCAGTGGAACCTAAAGATTGAGAATGTATATTAGAAACTAATCACATAAATGAAGCCATATAGACCTACAACTACATGGCATGTTTAGAGAATTGCAATTCTGTAGCATATCAGTCAGAATAGACTTGAATAGAGGTTCTGGAACAATCCAGAACAGTTTCATCCCCATCAATAAAAATTATCTAGGAAATTATTTAAAAAATTAACTGG